GAGTTTATGGTCTCAATCTCTAGTTTCAAGTCTTCTTCAATACAGCACGATGTTCATTTAGTAACTTATGGTCCATTTAGAGTCAAACAGACCATAAAGCAGGGGATGCTTTAGGGCGGGGCTTACTGTGAGATTGACAGGTCGCTGCTGCTACCAGAGACGTTTACGACGTCTCTACGTCACAAATATGGTAACTTGCGAACAAAACAACATGGCGACAAGGCTTGAAAACGTCAGTCCACAAACCAATGGGTGACGTCTCGATGGCTTCAGTCTGTGGTCTACCGTGAGGACGCTGCTCAATGTTTTAATACCCTGACAGCTGCCACTCTGTGCTTTGGGAGCGAGCCATCTCCTCATCTGCTGCCTGGATTAGGTCCATGGGACCCGCTGTGAGGCCCTGACGGGTCCGGAGACAGTCAGACGCTGCTCGTCAGGAGGCCTGGCCCTCCTGCTGGAGATGGCTGTTTGGTCCCGGGGTTAGAGAGCAGGAGTGGCACAGGTGGAAAACGGGATTGTAGGCGAGAAGTGGATAGTTGGATGCAGAACAATAAGACCCATCAGCATTTTGACCAAACACAACAAAATATTTCATAACGACGACAGTAAAAAGTCTGTCTGTTCGCTGCAGCCGGTGTTGAGGACTCATCCCTCCGTGACTCCTCTGTGTTTTTGTAGATCAACAGGGACCGACAGCAGAGTGGTGACTCCTCTCTGTCTACATTCAGAAGGTCCAGTGTGTTCAGTGAGTAGTGAAGGACAGAAGGCCACGGCTGTTCAACGTGTCCGATACATTTAATTAACGCGGGTTGTGAGCATTAATCCGGCAGGTCGTGTTTCTGCTCCTCGGCCAACAAAAGGTGATGAAACATCTGTGAGTCGTGGCTATTTTAGACTTCAGTTACGTACAAATGTTGAAAAACATATTCTCATTTGATAAGTGGATATCTTAATGCATAGTTGATACTTTTCACTAAAGCGGTCGTGGTGATCTGCGTGTTTTATCTGCAAACAAAATCTCAAAGAAGCGTCACAATAGTGAGAGTTTAAGGTGAACTGAAGCCTCTTCTCATCACTTCCTGTCAGTGTTTCCCTGACGGTCGGTTCCACCATGTTCTTGTTAGTTTCTGTCTCTCGCCTTCTCACCTCACTTCCTCCCTCTGTTCACACTGTTCACAGTTTACCTCCTTTTTTTATACCTGCAGTTTCCTCTAATTTAAATGTTCCCGTCTCCTCCGTCCTGCCTTTGTCTTTATTACATTTAATAAAACGAAAATCCCGTCGCTCTTGTTGCTTCTCTGCATCTCCTGTTCAAGCTAATTCCTCGTCTCTCCACATGTCCCCTTGCCTCTCTTTCTGGTTTACCTCAGTCCACTTTTGGGAACCCCTTCTTTCTGTCTCCTTAATTAATCTGCTGGTTTGACTATCAGTGGTTTCTACTCTACAGTCCATCCACTTTGAATGAGAGAGGAGGGGATGAGCAGGCTCAGGAGGCTGGAGAAGACTGAATGATTATTTTGCTTTAGAAAAGATTGCCTCGTTAGTATGTGTAGTAGAGTTTAAAGTATTAGTTGATTCATGGATTAGTGGATTGACAGAAGAGACATTTCTAAAGAAAGATGATGGTTCCAGCTGGTTTTTAAATGTTAAGATGTCTCAATCACCTTTTAGGGCTTTTAGAACATTTCAACCCCAACTGTTTTTCACTGTAATCTAATATTTTTACCATTAATCTGAAAAACTAATCATGCTAGTGGTATCTTATTTTGTAGGGATTGATGGTCATGGGAACGTGTGCTGATTCAGCAGTTTTTCAGCACCGTCCCTGCTTTACATTCATGGAGTCGTACGCCTGAAGCTGCTCTGCAGAGCCGCTCTGTTTAACGGCCTGAATGAGCAATACTAGCAGAATTTCCTGCTCAGATTTCATCTGTTCGTGTTGACTGCATCTAAAAGTAATGTAAGAACATGCATCTGTCCATCCATCTAAAACAATGTCCAATACATCTAATATCTATCGTACCTATTTCAGTGTCCAGAGTCCAAAACAAAGACATTTATTTATTTTTTATTACAATTATTGAAAACCGAACGAATCAACAAAAACTCCCATTTAACAAACTGTGAGCAGTAAAGTTTTGTCTCGTCTGCTTGTAAAACAGTTCATGATTAATCGACTAATTGTTTAAAAATGACATCGAGTATGTCCTGGAATAATTGTGTCCGTGCTGTAGGTTATAATATCTCTGAGGAATAAAAGCTGTCGATGCTTCATAAATATCAGAACGAGTTTATCCTCACTGTCCATTATATTTATTCTGAATTGTAAGTGTGTCTCTTCCACTCTTGGCACATCCTAATATTCCTCCTTTCCTCATTCATTCTGACCTTGTTCTGTGTCTATTCGTGTGCCCTCCTTCCTCTCTCTCACACACACACACACACACACACACACATACACACACACAGCCGTCTCCATCACACCTCGGTCTTAACACTCGGCTGAGTCCCAAACACAGAGGAGGTGCTAATAATAAAGCTGCCAAGAAGTGTGTGTGTGTGTGTGTGTGTGTGTGTGTTGCAGTGTAACTGATGGAGATGGATGAGGGGCCGTGTGGCTTCCAGCAGATGCAGGCTGTCGGTCTGATAGTGCATCTGTTTCTCTCTCTGTCCTCTGTGTTTGTTTGTTTGTTTGTGTGCATTCGGTTATTTGTTTCCTCTGTTAGAAGTATTTATCTCCTGAAAATGTGTGTTCTTGATTTCCAAAATAGATTGTCTCCTAATCTTGAGACGGTTCAAACTCCGTACAGGCTTGAAGTTAAGATCTTGCGTATTGAGACCGTATTAAAATGATTTAAAGTGTTGCTAACTGGGTACTTTAAATAATCCTTTTTAATAATGTTTCTCTCTGTTTGCTGAGCACTTTACTGTTGGCAATAAAGAACAACTTCAGAGGCTGTTGCTGGAGGCACTTCTATGCATCAGTAGCTTTGTGAAGTGGCAGAGGAGGTAAATAGTTCAGTGATTTCACCGTTACAGATTCACCGTGGAGCGCTGTGTGCTTTGAATCAACGCCGACCGATTCATTCAGCTCTCTGGTGTAAATCTGCCTGTTTCTCCCTGAGCTTTAGAGTGCGTGTGTGCGTGTGCGTGTGCGTGCGTGCGTGTGCGTGCGTGCGCCTTTGAGAGCACTCCGATGAATCAGTCAATATTTTCACAAAGACACAAAGTGATGGAACGTACTGTGTTGGCTCGGCTGACAGAAATAGCCTGCAGGTGGAAGGCGATGTGGCTGTAAAGGTTTTATTTGCGAGCTGTATTTTTCACTCTTACTTTCCTCCCGTCCGTCCACGCCGTCGTTCATTTTTGACTCAACTCTGAGGACATTTACATGGACAAAAGTATGTGGACACACCCACACATTCAACCCAATGTTCCTGTGGAACATCTCATTCTAAAAGCCATGGTCGTTATTCTGATGCTGTAACCGCCTCCACTCCTGAGGGGAAGACGTTTCAAAAGAGGTCCAATGCATCGTCATGTTTGATCCTGGCCCTCTGCTACGTGCTGATCACTTCTCTCTCTTTTTGGGATCGTTGATGATGAAAGCGTGGGATACCACTCTCCACTCCTGTGTCTCATGTGACACACACACACACACACTCACTCACACACACACACACACAACTTTACCCTGCACAGCGCTTCACAAACAGCAGATGTGGATGAAACAGGAAGCCTTATCGTGCTCATCAGAAGCGGTTGCCAGTCCGTGATGAACCTTTCTGTATTTCCATTCATGCTTCTCCCCTCCCAGCCCTCCTGCTCACTGGCCTGCATACACGCATCAGTATCACACTTTCACACTCGTTTTTGTTTTTCTCTCTTCCCATCACGCCACATTGGTCTCTTCCTCTTCCTCGGTCCTTGTCTCACCGTCTCTGTTGCCCCCATTCTTGATTTTTATTCACTATGTCTTCCACTTCCCTTCCTGTCTCTCCCTCTCCCTCTCCCTCCCCCTCTCCTCTTTTCTGTGAGACTTTATCCCTCCTGACAGTGTTGGGTGATTTTCCGCATCACTGCATTCGGTCTGTTGCTTCTGCAGTTTTGAAAGTCAGTCTTAGCGTTTTGGTTTCATCACAAAAGGGCTGCTCATGTTTGGAATTCAATTATGACATTTTTAAAGTAATAAAACTGCAGACTTCATACTTCACACATAGTTGATCTTAAGACTTAATCTGGGCACCATTTCCCAAAAGCAATCAAACCCCAAATTAAATGATCAGTGATGCCAGAATAAGTGGCAGTTGATGCAACATGAGTGATAATGTTTAGTTTGAACACATTACTGCTGCTTTTGTGGTCGAAGTATTCCTTTAAACATACGGTGTTGTACTCTTTGCTCTTTTAACACTTTGTTCAGAGATGATTCTTCATTGTTGCTCTCTCTCTGCTCTCCGTCTGTCTCTCTGCAGCTCTCGCCGACGGACAAGAGTTTGGAGTTTGACAGAGACTTTCGCATCAGACACTACGCAGGAGATGTGGTGTGAGTGTCTTCAAGTTTCATTTATTCAGGAGAAGCTTTTGCCGGTGATTCATGCTCCTTTTCCCACGTTTGTACATGTTTACGTATTCATGCGTCAGAGCTGAACAGTCTTTCCCGTTTGGCTGCTTCAAGAGCAGATATAAGTTTAGGGTTCCTAAATTAAACTTGATGGTTGTTTTTTGACCAAATATTGTTTTCATTAGCTGGTTTCCTTTGTCTATTTAACCCACTGTATTTGAATATATTTCATTATTTTAGTTAATGCCTTGGATCAGTTAATGTACAATAGAACAAACACATTTCAGTGCACCTATCAAACGGTAATGTTACAACATCTATACAGACCCAAAACACTTTGGTCAACTGCTCTGCAGCATTTATATTGTCTACACTTTTTATTTTATAATTGGTTGAAATGAAGGCGCCTACATGAACACAACTCGTCTCACGGCTCCATGTGACACTTTGATGTTGGATTTGAACATTTTCTGTAAAAAAGGAGGCGGAACATCAAATAAACCAAAATGAACGTGGATTAATCTTCATCAAAGATTTCCATCAAGTTCCCACATGAAGGGAATTCTACTCGGCCTGCGTGCTAATGTATTCTGTGTGCACAGACGTGTGCAGAGAGTCCACATTGTAGTCTGCAGCAGTGCAATAAGACAGAACTGAATCACATCCAGAATGACCCTCGTTTGAATACGCAGTTAAGGACACTTGCATGCACACACTCGAACATTCAAACAACACCTTTCGTAGGACGACGCGCCCCCCCCCCCCAAACAGACTGCACCACCTCCCAATCCCCGAAGTACTTGGGCGCCATTCAAATGAATAAATCACACATGCTAAGCCCCCAAAAAGTGCTCTCAGGGAAACGTGTTGAGCCCATTTGTGAGGGCTAAGTGTCTGCCACCCATGGGAGGACTCGGGCTTGATTGATCCCTGAACCACTTAGACCAGGAGGCAGCGCCCACCTCACAGCACGGCTCTATGCATAGCAGCTCATCACTTAACGCCACACATTAACTTAAAGTGTATATTAACATACGGCTGAGATAATATTTATAGTTTGGCATTTTGGTCGTCGCCATCTTGAATTTTTTGCAACCAGAAGTGAGACGAGAGGGTGAAGCTAAGTAAAATCAAGAGAGAAGTAGAGTCATTTTCTATTAGACTTCCATACAACCAGAAGGACTAAGACGTGAGGAGAGGAGGCGAGGAAAGGAACAGAGGATGTACAGACTGAGAAATGAGAAGAGAGGATTGACCCTGCCTTTTGTCAGCGGTTCAGGCTGCTGGGCAACTGAGCTCGGTTTAAAGTATTGGATAACGCGTCATATCACAGAGCACACATCCTCTCAGGCTCCACCAACATGACAGTGACTTCAGGACTTCACAGTCACTAGATCTCAATCTGAATAAAGCACTTTTAGGACGCGGTGGAACGGGAGACTCGCAGCATGAATGTGCAGCCGCTAAATCTGCAGCAACTGTGTGATGCTATCACGTAAACACGCTGCAGAATCTATAGAATGTTTCCAGCACCTTGTTGGATCAATGCCTCGGATGATTCTGGGTGTTCTGGGGTCAGTAATAGAAAGGTGCACATAATAAAGTGGCCTAAGGTCAACGTGATTCTGGTTTAGGACAGTTTTATTTACATGTACCCGCCTCCTTGTCTCCTCTCCTCAGGTACTCAGTGGTGGGTTTCATTGATAAGAACAAAGACACTCTGTTCCAGGATTTCAAGAGGCTGCTGTACAACAGGTAACGCACACACACACACACAGAGTACTACACACCACTTCAATCACCTCCACACACTGTGTTCCTTGCAGCACTTTACATGACACCCCTCCAGAAAGAACAGCACAGGACTAGTACAACTAATCTCCCCTGAGCTGGCTTTTATCCTCCTCCTCTGCTTCTATCCTCTGCTGTGTTTCCTCCGCTGAATATAAATGTGAGGTCTGGTAATTCCTGACCGGTCTAATGTGCGATTGATGATCCTCGTTACTCGGGTCAAATGCACAACGTTTGGATAGCGTTTGTTACAGGTGAAATATTGTCATAATACTATTTTAGATTAAATATTCGTGCTGCAGAGACGTCCTGGTCTACACATCATAATTCACACCTTTAATCATTTAAATATGTCTTTCAATGAAAATGAGACAAAAGTTTCAAATGTTTTTAATTGTGAAGCGTCACTCTACTAGATAACTAAACATAGTATTGTCGTGCTTTTTTACATTTGAACGAACGCACAGCGGCCAACAACACTGACTTGTGCTGTGATTGTTATCTGTTTTTACTCATCGCTCATCTAAGTGTTGTAATCTCTGCCTGTACAACTCTACCGTCATGTTTCCAGTTCTAACCCAGTACTGAAGGCCATGTGGCCTGAGGGCAAACTGAGCATCACGGAGGTCACCAAACGGCCTCTAACGGCCGCAACGCTCTTCAAGAACTCCATGATCTCGTTAGTGGAGAACTTGGCCTGCAAGGTGAGCAGCCAGGGCGGATGAACCGTTTCGTCTTGCATGTTGAATTCAGCTGAATGTGGTTGTTAACGCGCCCTCTCCCTCGTCTGTAGGAACCCTACTACGTTCGCTGCATCAAGCCCAACGACGTCAAGTCCCCTCTGCTGTTCGAGCAGGAGCGCTGCCGCCACCAGGTGGAGTACCTCGGGCTGCTGGAGAACGTCCGAGTGCGGCGTGCTGGCTTCGCCTACAGGCAGACCTACCCTCGCTTCCTCCAGAGGTACCGTCAATAAACACCTTAGACGCCTTCGGCCTTGTGATAAACCTTGTTTCTGTGAGTTTTTATCTCACTTCCCTTCAGTGTTTTTAGTTATTTCATGTCGGGCTGCAACTAACAATTATTTTCTTCATTGATTAATCTGCTGATTATTATTTATTCCTCCTTGTGAAGGATATATCATATATGTCAAAGCCTACAATTACCCAGATTCTAGACATATTTCATTATTAATTTTATCCTCAGATCATGTTAGGGTTATGATTTGAAGTTTAAATATTTTGCTCATGGGACTAGCTTTAATATCTGGTCGAACATGCTGAACCTTTACACCACGGTGCCTCACTGTTGGGTGTAAATATGTGATGTATAACGCTAACTAGCTCGCATCTAATCTTGCAGCTAATCAGTTACATTTCCAGCAGCCGTCACAAAATAACTCATTTTGTCAATTTCCCGACAAGCATAATATTTGTGTCCTCTGAACGTGATTAAAATCAGGCTGGATTATAATAACTAGAAGACGTAAATCATTCTGATGTGCTGCAGAAATGATCCTGTTTTTAATGTGAAGTAGCAAACAACTGCTAGTCAATGACCTGCGTTAATAACTCGTGTTTTATTCATGAAGGAGCTCAAGCACCTGATATTACAAGTCTGTTTACAAAACAATCAGCACTAATTTGGTAGCAAGCATGCCGGTAATGACCAACATCTACATTTAAGAGCTACTAAAGTCTGATATGTCGGACCAATATGAATCATTTATACCATAAACATGTTTGTTAAAAATTTCAAGTTGTGTCAAATGTCGGCTTTTAGATGGCCGTTTAAAACATATGTCCGCTAGTTCTCCTATATGAACTCTGAAATATCAACAGACTTATTATCTGTCAAAAAAGAAGTCTTGCGTAAACACTTCTCACACACAAGATCTTTCAGAAGAAGCTCTCAGAGGAGAGAGAGTCAGGGCTGGACTTTTAGAGACTAGTGATCTACAGACGTGGATCCTTAGTCTCAAACGTCACGTTAACCCCGCGGAGGACGAGCGGGAGCGATGCAGCGACACACAAAGTTAGGAGATCACCAAAGTTGTTACAGTTCATCCTGAGGGGAACATGAATGTCACGGCAATCCATCCAACTGCTGTTGAGACATTTCACTAAAAATCAAAAATGTTCATTCCATGAACATCCAGAGGATCACCAAAGCCAGTAGGACTCTTTATGTACAGTAATCCAGGTCCTGGTTGTGCTCCTTCCTGCACCAATCTAGATTTTATATAACCATTTATTTGGTCTTTTGTTTCCCTCCTCCAGATACAAGATGATCTCAGAGTTCACGTGGCCAAACCATGACTTGCCATCGGACAAAGAGGCGGTGAAGAGGCTCCTGCAGGGGTGTGGATTTGACCACGACGTGGCCTACGGCAAAACCAAGGTCTTCATCCGCACGCCACGCACGCTCTTCAGCCTGGAGGAGCAGCGGGTGGAAATGGTCCAGAGAATCGTCCTCTTCCTCCAGAAGGTGAGAGTCTGACCTCCTCACGGTGGCTTATGAACTCGGATACTGACACGACAGCAAACCTCTGACCTCATGGGAAATACTGAATTCATTACGCTTGTTTCTTCTTTCTTTCTTTAATCGTGATTTTCCTCTCCCTGATTTTGCCTTGAATCTAAACCAGTGAACCAAATCAACAACATCTTTTCCAGTGTTCTCAAAGAAATTCATGCATATGAATAAACTCGGAGACTAGAAAAAGTCAAATGTTAATACAAGCGCTGAGGTATTTTCGGAGCTGATATAATCTTGTATTGTGAGCACAGGAATCTTTTATCGCTCAGGTGAAAGTTGTCGCCCGCACAGCTATTGTAAAGTTGTGAGTGGATTCATATTTATAAGTTTGGAACATGGTAGTATCTTCGTTTGTTATGTTGTTTTACTTGATTCAGGTTTTTGATTTAATTTGTTACCAATTTAAAGATGATTTAAAAACACTTGAAAGTCCACAATTCATACAAAGAGTCCTGGTAGTGTTACTACGTCGGGCAGAGCGGAGCGGTTACTTTGTTAGATGGAGGCGTTGGTTCGTGGACGTGGTGCTCTGCTCTGCCTGTCTGTCATATCTCAGATGCACCGTGCAAACGCTTGAACGCTATCTCTGACCGACAGGCAGGCAGCTCTAAAACTACTTGAAGCGTTATATCCTCCACCGGGGAACCATGTGATTTACACCTATACGTAACCTGTCATGATATGAGAATCACGTTTGCAGATTCCTCCACACGTTGTGCTTTCACGTCCACCTTTCTCAAGGAGTATCTCCAAGCTCACAGACTTGAAAGGGTTTTTCCAGCCAAATGAGCCCCTGTACAGATTGATTGGTCGACCTTTTGTATTGATCCGTATGACCTTCTGTTGGCTCTTCCCACGGAGTGTTCCTTCCAGTTCTCCCTGAGGAGAGCCCTATCTAGTGTCCGCCAGGATAAGCAGGCCTCGATAGCGAAGGGAAACCCTCGGAGGAATCGCCAACCAAAAAACAAACATCACACAGGTGTCGCAGCAGGCGTGTTTAATCTCGCCCTCTGTCGCCGTTGAGGCCGGGCGCGCAGCATGTGCTTCACGTGCACGCTCACTCGTGCTGCATGCACTCTCTGGCACGCAAAATCAAACAGTGCTGTGACGGCAGCATTGACTCCTGTGTCTATCACGCTGTCGCTCCAACAAACATCCCGGCCTGAGTCCGATCCGCCGCGCCAAGCAATCCCCCCTTATCAGCACCTGGCACACCACGCAGCCTTATGCCAGCCGACAGGACGGCGGCGCCAGGATGGTCCGTCAGCCGGTAACTGAGGCTCAGACACACGTCTCATCCCTCCGTTCGCCTCACAGATTTATAATAATGGCACTTAGTGTGCCCCATCAGACAACTAAGAAACACACTTTTTGAATCTGCACACTCCTTGTGGTGCCGCTGCCTGTCCAAATTGGGAGAACATTGTGTTCTACTGTCTCATTTTACCACATTTTAAATGACCAAAACCTCTCTTCCTGTGAGGAGGAAGGGTGGAGTAGCGGGAGGAAAGGATTGGAGGAGGAGAGGAGGCTCCTTATTAATCCTGCCGTTGTCTACGAGCAGGCACAAAAACATTTATGCCCAATGCGCTGTTCGTTGCATTATTCTCCAAAATGCCAGAAGGCGTACAAACAAAATGGAACCGGCAACGAGTAGCACCAGCACAACGACATAAACCAACCTCCACAGCTCAGAGAAGGGATTGTAATTCACTGTAAACTCATATGTTATATTCCTGTACTACTTTATCGTCAGTATACAAGCCCTGTAGAGAAAGCCGTCAAGTATTAAATGCATTTTAAAGAAATACAGGTTGAATATCCTATAAACTATTTGATCTGGCTGCAAATTTACTCAAATGTAGATTTTAAAAACCTCCTGTTTCCAAATAGTTAAATACGATTCGGCCATCTTTGTTAAAAGTGCTTTTATCAGAAAAGCTCCGAGCAGCTCCAAAAATTCAGAAATGCAAACTTGCAGGACCAGTGAAGCCGTGATGACCTCATGTTCAGGCGTAAACCAAAAGCAGCACCTCGTCTCTCCGCTCTTGTTGTGCTGCAGCCACTCAATCCCCCCCGACCTGAGCTGTTCCAGTCAGGCCCGAGTGCATGAGCAGCTCCATGTGTGTGATCCTGCAACAACAACGCTGATACATCCACCCTGCACAGACCGATCTAAATCATTACCACTTTAAGAAATGGATGCTGGAAGCAGAAAAATACATAACTTAACATAACATAAATATACAGATGTTATAAATTAAACATAGGCCACCCCCACCTCCCGCTGTGTAAAGATGAATATTTCATAAATTCAAGCTCAGCCATCCACATCACAGTAACTGTCAGCGCTTGTCAGAGCAGCGGCGATGGCGAGAACAGAGACTACCCCCCCCGCTGAGCAGCCACCTTAATTGCTTTCCAAAGCTGTACATAGTCTCCGTGTAGCAGTTGGTTTATGAGACGTCCTGAGTGTTTGTCTCGGGTAGTCGGCTTTCACAGCGCCGCCACTCGGGGCTTGTCTGAGCAGGAGCTAAAAGAAATATCCTAAAAGGATAAAGTGTCTTACCTTGTGTGTGTTTTTTTATTATTATCTCCCGGTGGATAACTCGTTGTCTCGTGCAGTAATAACTCAAACCTGACTGACATGCAGTGGATATCTGTGTGCAGCCCTCTTGTGAATAGCGGGCTCCTTAGAGCGAGGCCAGCCCTGCTAAACGGTCCAGAACTGATCCGTCTCCTGCTAGACCTCAGCAGAAACACGATCTCTAATCCTCTGATCCCCCCTCTGAACCTGCAAAGTGTTTAAGTTATCATCCAGATCTATCGCCGCCATAAAAGCACTCCACGGCGTGAGAACACTGCAGCAAATCAAAGGAGGACACTTTCACTTTTTACTGCTGGATTATGAAACGAGGAAACAATGTGCTTCCTCTGTTCTCGAGAGAAAGCTTCGATGTGGAAACTAAAAATCCTAAAGATATCCTGCAGTACAGAACAGCTTACAGCAGAAGAATAACTCTAAAAGACTGTGACCGTGGGTCTTTCTCCATGGCAACAGATGTGTGGCTCACAGCCAAAGTTTACAGGTTGTTTTGTGTTAGACCGCTTTTAACGATCGTCTGCACATCCTCACAAAATCTATTTCATTTTAATCTTACTTATCCACAGAGAGGTGAGTCTTGTTCTGAGGCCAGCAGGACGGTCGCTCACCTCTGTGTCCTGTTTAAAAGAAAGCTGAACATATGCCCCAAAAATACGTAGAAAAAAGATTCTTCAAAAAAAGACAAACCTCACATAAATATTTAAGCATTTACTGGAAGTGACTGGATGATAAAAGAAGACACAAAATAATGGAAAATAATGTTTTAAAGAGGTTAATGAATAAGTGGAGAAAGAAAATATGCAAAAAAACAAATGTGACATTCAAAGGGCTGCAACGAACAATTTCATATTTATTGTATATTAAGATGACGTGGAAGACCTGTGCTGCTGCTGTCAATGGTTCACAGGGTGGATAGTATTCTTTATGCTTTACCTCCTCATGAAGCTGATTTTAGAGTGTGTGTGTGTGTGTGTGTGTGTGTGTGTGTGTGTGTGTGTGT